CTCCTTTTATTGATTGTTCTGGAAAAACCTTCCATCTCTCATTAAGAAGTGTGCCCCTGATTAAAAAAAATTGTAGTTCCAAACTTAACAATTTTAGCCGAATTATAATTCGTTAAAATATTTCTAAATCCATCATTTTTGTTAAAAATGTGATAATATATGTTAAACATCAAAAACTAAGGTTCAACATATCAAAAATTCAGATTAGAGGTCATTCTGCGAATATTGACAGGGAATGGTTTAAATTTCATTATCATCATCATCATCATCATCATCATTTTCCTTAAAACAAAATGAATGCTATTTGCACAAGCCCAGAAACCATAATCAAATTAAATATATGTATTCATTCGTTCAAATAACAATAACATATTATCGTGACCAATGGATAAAAATAAGCCATATCCTTCAGTGTGATTCAGGACAAGCTAAGAAGCTAACTCTGTCAAGGCGCATATTTTTCGATGCTAGAAGACTGCCTCTGGGATGCGACTGGAGTCAGTACAGGAACAGAACTGAATTGATTATCGTTTTTCTGCTATGATCACACTCCGTTGTACGATCGAGTGCGTATAAATAGCTTCTTTTTTAAAATTTAAATAAAGCAGGAAAAATAATCGCCTATCACCATTGAATTATTATTCATCACTCCTGGCTACCCTTCGCTTTTTGTTTTTTAAGGAGTGAGGGATCTCTTTTATGCGGCTACTCTGTTGTCTATACGATATATCATGCCTTGGAATGATACATTAATATTCATAGAATACATTGATGTGTAGGCTTAATGTCAGACTCCGGAGGAAAACAAAATTTGATATGTTGTAGAACTGATTTTTCTAAGACAGAAAAAAGTTGTTTGACGAAAAACTGGGAAACGGTGAATGAGATACCGGTACAGATTTTTGAATATTTAAAAACTGGAGGAAAAAATGGGTGTAACCGCCCATTTTTACACTTTTTTCCCCCAGTTTTTAAATATTCAAAAATCTGTATCTCATTCACCGTTAAGTTGCTCAGTTTTTGATCAAACAACTTTTTTCTGTCTTTGAAAAAACAGTTCTACAACATATAATTTTTTTTCCTCCGGAGCCTGACTTTAACATTGCAATGACTTATAAAGTAGATCTATTTAGTTTGGCACACTAGTGTGTTTTAGATTTCCATGATTCTTGTGATTAATCTGATATTTTTAAACCATAAAATGCGAACCTTCCAGCTTATCCCGGAGGTCAAGAGTCATATTCAAGAGTCTTTTTATTATTTATTTTATTTAATAATACTCTATAAACTAAGTTGCATTAAGACACTTATAATGGACTGCAGATGTTTTTTGTCATTAGAAAACAAAGCAATAATTTCAGCAAAAAAACTACAACTCAATTTCCCTTAAACCGGTCCATTATTGATTGATCTCTATCCATAAAAGTAAATTGGTAGTCATATAAACTACCAGTAGCAGCTAAGGGAAGTATGAGCATTATATCACACTGCAAATAACATTTCGACGTTCATTGGATCCGATATGGAAGGATGGTTTACGTAATTCGTACTCGATAAATGAAAGATCAAGGTACATGCATTATCAGCTTATTTCTTTACATTGTGTCAGCACAGATAGGCCATGAAATGCTTAGTGGTATTTCCAGACTGAGAGCGACTAGACAAATTCAACACCATCTATCTGTGACTTTCAAATCGTATCTACATAATCGTATTCCAAACGTCTGATTTTTTAAAGGTTTCAATTTTTAGAAGGGTCATTGTGGTAAGTAGGCTCAATGCATTTTACAGATACTTAGTCAAATAACTATATTCGAAGTTTAATTTAAAGGACGTATTATAATGTAGACCTTTATACCTGGGTATTATTCAAAAGGCATTTTGTCAGTTACGACAATTAACAATGTTTTACCTTATATAGGCCTCCTTTCAGTAACGAACTAAACTATTGCTGGTATCCCTACTTATAATACACAAGTGCAATGGTTGTTAATGTTTGTACTCACAGGTTGCTTGAATGATGGCAAACTTCGACAGTATCCTGCATATAACAGAATGTTCAATTCATATGGGACAGCTTGAGAGGCCCAAACTACTTCTTTGTCAACATACATTTTGCGAAGATTGCTTAAAAACGTGGTGTGATAATTCTAATGGCAAACTTGTATGCCCTGTTTGCAAACGCGATTATGGTCGAGTGGATGTAAGCCAGCTTCCGAATGACCGTACAAGAGTGTCCTTACTAGAAGCCATTTCGGATCCTAATAATGCAGTTGCAGGAAACTCAACAATTGAAAACGTACGCCAGAATCCGAATGACCGTACAAGAGCGTCCTCAGAAACTGTTTCGGATCCTAATCCGCCTAAACATCAACCTGGTTTCAAATTTGGGCAAGTAAAGTATTACGGCGCACATGACGCTGCGGTACATGACGATGAAATTTTCATTACAGATAAATGTAACCATCGCGTTGTGGTTATCAACAAGGGAGGCCAGGAACTTCGGTCGTTTACCATTGAGGAAGACAATATGTTGGCGTTTGATCCGTTTGGGATCACCATATCAACAACGGGGAAATTATATGTAACAGATATGAAAAACCACGAAGTATTCGTTTGTGATCTATACGGCAATGTACGCCAACGTATTGGTAAACACGTACTCAAGAAACCGAATGGCATTGCGCTTACTACTAATAACGAAATATTAGTCGTAGATTATGAAGATTGCTGTGTGCATAGGTTTGGAATGAATGGTGTTGTCAAAAGTACAGTAGGGGGCCCTGGCACTGGACGGTTTTCACACCCATGGTTTATAGCTATCAACAGTAAGGGAGAATGGATTGTTTCTGATTGTGACAATAAATGTTTTCATATAATACACGATGGCAGGTCTAGAAAAGTTGATGTCGGCTGTAATGTAAGAGGAGTAACTGTTGATTCTCGTGATAATATATTTATCACTATTGCTGAGAGTGGATGGAAAAAGAAATTCGCAGTGCTAATGTACCGCCCAAATGGAGAGTTATATGGCTATATATCTCGCAAAGATACGCTTTTAAGACCACGCGGTATGTGTACAACGAAAGACACCTACGGCAAAGAAATCCTTATAGTTACAGATGACAGCAAAGAATTACATATATATGATATAGTATAGACAGAGAGTTAAAATACAGGAAATATAACGATACACTAGTATAGTACAGATGATAGCAGTGCATTACATAATTAAATGATATAGCCAAAAGATATTAAAGAAAATCAGTAAAGTTTAGACTGAAGTATTGTAGACGTTAAAGAGCTACCATCGAAGTACAGAAACCTGAACCAGTCTTTTCATTTTTTCCATACGATATTGGGAAGGTTCACATCCCCAACCAGAATTAGTTGATGACGAGATATTGCATCGTCAACGGATTGAACTATTTTAGTATGCTCTCTCGTCCACCATTCTGTGCTCTGTAGACAACTCCTATAAGGACCGCCTTACTTTTAGTTGGCTTCACTTCAACCCATAAAAGTTCAACGTGATCCACTCTTCTTGATTTAAATTTATTGGATGCCAGCAACATAACACCGCCACCCCTTCTTCCATCATTTCTATCCATCCAATTAATATTAATAGTAAACCCAGGACAGGACAGTACAGTTCTGCATCAGACACATTAAAGCATTTAGCCATGTTTCCGAGAAACAAAATTAAAAGATGACCTTGTATAAATTTGGAGTTATATACGTCCATTTGGTTGTTTACGCTTCTGATATTCTGATAGTAAAGCTGGGTGTGTTATTTTGTTTACCTTGGGTGGATGATCATGTATAATTAGAATCGTGACTGTTTGAGTTGGCCATTCATGGTCTAGGGTTGACTTCGATGTCTCCGCATTTAGCAAGTGTTGGCTGAAATGTTGTGACACACGATCTAGCTGTACTTGATTAACCAATTATGTTATTTCATTGGCTGAATAAAGAATGAATGAATATCCCTCCGCACGTGCTTGTATTGTCCACACGGCTGGCCATCGTTGGTAGGTGTGTTAGACTGGGTTCCAGTCCCTAATCTTTGTCTTAATCAGTTGAAATGCTTAAGAATAAATCGATTTTGGCACAAATGGCGTTCCATATTACTTATTTTCATGGCGTTCCATAGTATACTTTTTCTGGGATTACTCATCAAAAAAGTTTCTCAACATAAACTGACGCTGGTGGCGCTTTCCGAAATGCGCTATGTACTACGAAAAATCCATAAATTAGAGATTTGTGGCAAGTCTAGTAGGTGTGTGTGAAACATGTAATTATCCACGGCTGAGCCTAGAAAATAGCTGATATTTTGAGGTAAACATCCATCAAACAACACGACATTACAACTTCCTGTACAGTATACATCACTAACATTTGTTTTAGGTTGATAAATGCAGCTATTAAAAGTAAGTTTGTGTGTTAAATTGCACAAACAAGTAAAGGTAGAGAGCAATCCAATAGCAGCTTTTTCTGGACGTTGTATTGCCATAGACTAATGCCTTAATACCCTTCCGTAATACGTTATACATGTATATAAAATATAAACGATAAAGAAGAGGACGTTAATAGTTAGAGATTACGATATAAGTACAAAAGTCCTTTTCTACAAAAGTTTTTTTTGAAAACCGACTGTAATGTTTTTTTTAAATTCTCGTTGTTATAATTATTAGTATAACTTCAAATTTTAATACGCATCATTTTTGTTGAGCATTAGTAATAATTAAAAACAAAGGTTCAAAATATTCTCGTTCTGCAAATATTAACAGGAAATGGTCTAAGTTACCATAGAATATTTCATCATCATCATCATCATCATCATCATCATAATCATCATCATCATCATTTTTCTATTATGATCACACTCCATTGTACGATTGGATGGTGCATTGCGAGTATACAGGCCTATAGCTTCTTTTTTTTAAAATTTAAGTTATCTTTCAGTTGGCAAATAAAAGAGAAAATACAATCCTCGCCAATCACCTTAACTGGGTGGTCATCACCCCTGGCTACTTTTCGAATTTTTTTCTTAAGGAGTGACATACTTCCCTTAGGCGTCAACGGTGATATGTGCTATAACATGCCTATTTTTTATTAGTTGTTTGGAATGATACATTAATATTCATAGAATGCATACATTAATGATACAAATTATCTATTGACTGTGTAGGCCTTACAGTATGCAATCCTCGCCAATTACCTTGACTGGGTGGTCATCACCCCTGACTACCTTTTTGCTTTTTCGCTTTTTGTTTCTTAAGGAGTAAGATACCTCCTTTAGGCGTCTATACGCTGCTGTCTATATGATATAACATGCCTTTTTTCATAATTGTTTGGAATGATACATTAATATTCATAGAATAAATACATTAATGATAAAAAAAAAAGTATTAATTGACTGTGTAGGCCTAACAGTATGCATTTACTTATAATGTAGATCTATTTAAATTGGCATACTAGTGTTTTTTTGTGCTTTAATCTGATATGTTTTAACTATATAGGGCTTTTAAAAGTTAAAGACGTATTTGTATGTAGTCTAAATGCATATTCAACTGCAAATAGTTTTCGACGTTTACAGGATCTGATATGAGAGGATGGTTTACGTGATTCGTAGGACGTTCATTATCAGCTTATTTGACAAAACTGTTGTTGTCACGGGAATGATGGTCACAGCCTTTGCCAACCTTACGATGCCTAAATATGGTTGCATGTATACAATGCTGTTCCTGTTTAAACATTTATCTTGTATCAGCAGATATAAATTATTAAAACGCTTAGTGGAATTTTCAGACAAGAGAGAGCGCCTAGCCAAATCAACACCCGCTCCTGTGAATTTGAATCGTATCATCCCAAACATCTGATTCGATAAAGGTTTGTATATTTTTCAGTACGGTCATTGTGGTAAATAACTGAATCTCACAGATCGTTCTTTGTAGTCAAACAACTAATCCATGTCTTTGCCAGTTACGAAAAGTAATAATGTTTCCCCTAATATAGGCGTACTCTTTCAGTAACGAACTAAACTATTTACATTATGCCTACTTATAATACACAAGTGCAGTTGATATTGATGTTTATAGGTTGCATGAGTGATGGCAAACTCCGACAGCATCCGGTATTCAACAGAATGTCCAATTCATATGGGGCGGCTTGAGAGGCCAAAGCTACTTCCCTGTCTACATAAATTTTGCGAAGATTGCTTAAAAGAGTGGCAAGATACTTCTGATGGTATACTTTCTTGTCCACTTTGCAAAAGCGATTATGGTCAAATAGATGTAAGCCAACTTCCGAATTACCATAGGCCTACAAGAGTAGTTAACGCAGCTGCAGAAAACTCAACAATTGAAAACGTACATTACGAAACCTCAGTAGTAGTCGTTGTAATTAAACTTAGAGATTGTAACGGAGAAGACACAATGCATGGGAGAAATGAAGTAACATTAATGATAATCGAGCCTGGTGGCGACTTGGTTGAGTACCAGAGGAAAGATGGTACATCCTGTGAGTATGTGTTCCATCCGAAATCCAATGGCAATTACATCATTCATGCTTATGTACAGCAATCAGAATTGGGAAACTCTCCCAAGGAGTTGACACTTTTACCTCCTAAAGATCAACCCGGTTTCAAATTTGGGCAAGTAAAGTATTACGGTGCACATGACGCTGCGGTACATGACAATGAAATCTTCATCACAGATAAATATAACCATCGCGTTGTCGTCATCAACAAAGGAGGCCAGGAACTTCGGTCGTTTACAATTGAGGAAGACAATATGTCTGCGTTTGATCCGTTTGGGATTACCATATCGACAACGGGGACGTTATATATAACAGATATGAAAAACCACGAAGTATTCATTTGTGATCTATACGGCAATGTACACCAACGTATTGGTAAACACGTACTCAAGAAACCGAATGGCATTGCGCTTACTACTAATAACGAAATATTAGTCGTAGATTACGAAGATTGCTGTGTGCATAGGTTTGAAATGAATGGTGAAGTCTTAAGTACAGTAGGGGGCCCTGGCACTGGACGGTTTTCACATCCATGGTTTATAGCCATCAACAGTAAGGGAGAATGGATTGTTTCTGATTGTGACAATAAATGTTTTCATATAATACACCGTCACGATGGCAGGTATACCAAAATTAATGTCGGATATAAAGTAAGAGGAGTAACAGTTGATTCTCGTGACAATATATTTATCAGTGTTGCTGAAATTGGATGGTGGACAGACAAATTCGCAGTGCTAATGTACTACCCAAAAGGAGAGTGTTATGGTTATATATCTCGCAGAGATACACTTTTAAGACCACGTGGTATGTGTACCACGGAAGACTCTTCCGGCAGAGAAATCCTTATAGTTACAGATGATAGTAAGGCATTACATAAATATGATATGTTATAGACAGGAACTATAAAAATACACTAGTATAGTACAGGTGATAGCAGTGCATTACATGATTAAATGATATTAAAAAAATCAGTAAAGTTTAAACTTAAGTGTTGTAGACGTCAAAGAGCTATCAAAAGTAAAAATTTTGAATTTGTGGACGTGTCTATTCCACTATACCTGATGTAATATTAATTATAATCACTGTACAACCATACCTGAAAATTTTTAAATTGAAAGAATATTACTAGAAAATTAACGTTATTGTATTGGTTCTCTTTATGGAAATAGCTTGTTGAAACTTGTAATTTGTATATTTTGTAGGCCTACGATTGGTTGAGGACCCCCGAATAATGCTCTCAAAGAACGGGCTATCATCATTAAATACAAAATAATTGTAAACCTATAAGTACAGTCTGTAAGTATTGGAGAGCGCAAGAGATTGGAAGAGCATTAGGTCCTATTTGATCTTCGTGAATGTCGAATCAGTTTCCGAAATTAGATTTTGGTCATCATAAATCACTGAATTACACCAAAAAAACTATTTTTTAAATATATTTCAATTATTGATATCGATATTCTGACCTTAAGTTCCGATGTTGAGCTCAGAAAATTTTAGTCCTATTCTAAACTAATCAGTAAGTATACCGGTACTGATCAGGGAGGTTCTGATCATCATTGCATGTGATTGCACATGTACAACCACTGCGAGGTGTATACTAAGAAGTTAAACTAATTTGCATACCATGACATACCACAATGTGTTTGAATAAAAATTATAGGAAAATAATTTGTTAATAAAACACACGTTTTGATGTACGTGGCAGGATGCTTGAATAACATACACAATTTAGGAATATCGTATGAGTGACTACTCTGTGTGTAATCTTTTCTCTTTCCTCTATTTGTCATAAATTTACTGTGCCTGGGATGGCCAGTCCAGCAGCTGAGGTAGGCTGGCGTATGATACCTAGCCTAGCTACTGCAGCCTAGACAGTGGCTGTCCTATCCAGCCTAGGCCTAGAACTCACGATACAATATTTTCAGCTATTGTATGGTATTCCTCTTATGAATATATTTAGGCATTTTGCGATTCGCGAAATTTTTATGTCTCTGAAACGGCCGAAATTATCAATTCGCGAAAGTTTCTTGCCGCGAAAGTTTCTGATTTTACAGAAATTAAAAATAAAAATATATGTTACTGTACAGAGTTACATCATGTTATGTAATTGAGTATACGTAGTATATTTTTGTTCAGATAGAGTTGACCATTTAAAGCAGCTTGGTAGCTATGTTACCAAAAACTGTATGATGTAAGAGGATTTAACGGACAGTACAACTCCAAGTACGAATATGGCATTTAAACACCAAGATAAAGGTCTATAATCAAAGTGACTTATTTTTGAATCCATCTACAACACTAAGTTTTCCCATTAATCCATTTGGACACACTTCTTTGCATTGTGGTTGTATCCACCTGTTATTTAATGAGGCATGATGTTCGATGTTTTTATATTTCTGGTTGTACATTGTTAGAATCTGTTAAAACAGGGCAGTGACGGGAACGCTTCTACCATGACCTCAGTTTTGACTTACTCAAACCACTTTGTCATTGACATATAATAACTAACTAAAACCCATTAAAGCCAGCCTCGGGGAGAAACGATATGTTGTACAATTGAATATTCGAAGAAATTGAAGGAGTCTTTGACGAAATAGTCGAAAATGGCTAAGAAGTGTTATAAAGAACTATTCATAATTATTAAAAACTTTCAGTTGAATATTGTAATAAAAGAATGTATTATAAGTTCATCTGCAATATTACAACAGAACCATTGTCCGACTATGACCCTTCTGAATCCAATAAGGTAAAGATATTTAGGCTCAAATCCATTTGGCTTTCTAAAAAAATGTTAAAATATCTTTACCACTAAAGTGTTCTTTCCATACCAAAGCATGACCGTCTATCATTTGACTTAGTATCAGTCACAGCATGGAGTCATAATGGTGAAAGTAAATATAATTATAGATAAGATACGCGCAACGAATGTATAAATCTCATAGTTGGTGTCATTTATTAATTTGTGTTATGTTATGGAAAGCTTATATCACATTATTATGACGTTACCGATTATGTGGTAGAACTTTATGGGGGTCAAGTGGCAGGGTGTAAGCGGGTTTTTGAGGAAAAGACCACAGAAGCAATGACCTATGTATTCTGATGTATTATTTAAACGATAATTTGTTCGAAATTGTAGAATTTTTAATCAAATATGTCACTGAATTAATTAATATGTCCGTTTTCGCTACCGTATTTAATTTAAAAACTCGCTAAATTAGTAAAGATTAACGCAAACTGTTTAGACAAATGCTATTTATGTTTTGTGATTCAATTTATAATATCATATCGAAGACTTTATACTGTGCGCTAACATTTTACTACACAAACTATACAATCATATCTAAGCCTACAATTGTTTAATGTCGTTTCTTATTAAGACAGTTTCATTTAACATCTTAGTTGTGAATGATGCGTTGGTCGGCTTCCGCAGGTATGCCTATGTATTTTAGGCCAAAATTTTAATTCTTGATTATTGATTTTTTGAAAAATCCGTATTTGTTCATAAGGAATCGAACAATCCCTCTGATCACCATTATTCTGCCTTCTGCTGATACACGAGGCAATGCTAGCCGCTTATATAATACGTTCCTATTAAGACATCGTTCAAGTATTGCATAATAGTACTAGTCCTACTCTTGGGTTCATTCTTTTTCGACTACAGGCCTATTGTGCAAAAATATGTAAATATTGATAATAAAAATTCTATTAAATTTAAAGCTGTATTGCCGTATGAAACCATAGAGGGCTCTATCATTGATCTTTACCTTTTCTTTGATTTACTTTAAAACGAAATGTATTTTGGAAAACTTTTCGATTTTAAGGGTATTTTTTAATTAGTTTATCTCATTCTAATTCACAAATCAAATATTCTAATATAGAAATATCTTAATTGTATTGTGAATGTCCTTTTTTATTTAAAGTTTTTCATTGTGGAAAACCTCCCGAACGTTCTGCTTTTGTAACATGGTACTCCACCGTCATTGGATTACATTGTAATTTAAGGCAATAAATGGTATGCTATACAGTGATAAATATATAAGCCTACAAGAATATTCTCTTCTTTATTTACAGTATAGTGAATGTACCTTTACAGTACTAATGCAAAGTATAGTGATGTTTCAACCATATTTAATACGCTAGCAACTACGTTTGATTTCTTCAATGTGATTCCTTCTAAACAATTGATGCTTCCTTTGACCAGGTATTCAGAAACGTATTGGTAGATTTTATGCAGTAATTTTTAAGCGAATTATGAGCATATCTTTTACATTCAGTGCCTCTATTGTTTCAATATGCCCCGAATCCAATGTATATATATAGTTAGAGGATGGAATTCGATAAGTGAAAGATCAAGGAACGAGCATCATCAGAATTATGTTACCGCCTACACGATGTCTAAATGTCCTTGGTAATCATACAATTGTCCACGTACGTTCATACATTTATCGTGTATTAGCCTATACAAATAAGCTTACACACGACTGAAACTATAGTTGGCCTATTTCTTGAAGAGTTAGCAGGCATCCAGGCAAATATCCAACACTGGCCAGTTCTGGTTTTTAGAATCGTAAGTACACAAAATTACAAATTGTTTGGTTTGCAGGCGCGGATCCGGTGCCTGTGTCTCCCCCTCCCACCCCCGTCAGTCACGCCAAAGAGTTAAAAGGAAGTCAATAATTTTTTCGAGAAACACTGCTTTGAAAAAGCATTTTTACCGTCTGAGAGTGCCATTTACAAGCGTCTAGAGAGGCATAATCTTAAAATTTGCTCCAAGGTCCACCGATCCTTGGGGGGAAATTCGGTGCCCCTATCCATATTGTCCAGTAGGGTTCTCGCTTTATCACCCTGATAAAAAAAAGGGCTTTGCTGATACATAACATCATAATGTGTCACCGACATCGACTGTAGGACATATATCGATTCATATTAATCCAGTAGGGTGGGTTAATTGCCCAGCCGGCCAGGATCCCCTACATTTGTAAACATTTTTTTTAAATGGAGATAAAATATTGAAATTTGTCTGAATGAGTGTCATTTCCGGGCATCTAGAGGTACCAAAATCATTTGCTTTGCGACTCCCAGTATTGAATAGATTATAGGTCACTGATTAGACCTTTGCGACGCCCGTGAGGGAAAGGGTTTCTAAGGGAGGGGGGGCATAGCTTCCGTCGATAAGAAGTCAATAACTTTTTGTCGAGGAACGCTGCTTTGAAAAAGCATATTTTTAACCATCTGAGAGTTTCATTTTCGGGCGTCTAGAGGGTCTTAAAATTTGCCCAACCATGGTGATGCTGAGGTGGATGTGGAATACCTATTGCCCCCCTACCCCGTCAGAAAATGTCTAGATCCGCCCCTGGGTTTGATATTGTTTTTGTATATTAAGCTCTAAATGTTCAAAGGAAATAGTTGTAGGCAATGTGTATGATCAATTGATCAATTCTTGTGCATTTTTCGATTCAAAATGTTGGCTTTCTTGCTCTTCCTCGGCTTTTCTTTTATTTTTTTCATCTAACCAAGTGTGTTGTCCACTCACTTCTATTCCTATCAACACCCTCACCATCAGTATTTCACTGGACCTGCGCAAAATTGTTCTGTATACTCAAAATTTGTGGATTATTTTTCATAAAATATTTATCCTCTTCTCCCAGCTAGCTCAGAACTTGTTTATTTGACATAAATCTTCTCCAACAAATTTTCTGCAGCACCACATTTCGAAAGAACTTATCCTTCCTTTTGCCCTCAATACCTACCGTATAAATTATGTTTAATTAATTCTTCTTCTAAAAATACACACTCAGTAAAAGACCAAACTATTTATTTTTAGGCTACTCCTACTTTTAATATTCCTTTTGATTCTATACAGTACTAGATTACGTATGGCCAAATGTAATTAGCGTTGAATGATAGATGCACGAAATTCAAAAATAGAAAACGTACGTACGAAACACCAAAAATTGCTGTGGTTACAATTAAACTTAGAGACAGTAACAGACAAGACACAATACTTGGAATAATTACACCTTGGGTCATTGTAAAGGTAACTAATCTTTTATGGGTGTTCGGTTCAATGTCAGAGGAAAGGTGGGCTTAAATTCTGTGAGTATGTTGAACCTAACATTCAGTGGAAATTACACAATTCATGATTATCTACAAGGATCAGAATTGGGCAACTCTCCAAAGAAGTTGGAAGGTTTACCACCAGAAGATTTATATAGTTTTTGGACAAGTAAAGTGTAACGTAGCCTGGGTTCCAGGCCCTAATTTTAGGTTACTCACTCTTTATTGCACTTAGTGCGCGCCATACCTAATTTAATTGGCGTCCCATACTCGATTTCTTTTTTTTTTTTTTCGAATTAGGGCCTGGGCAAACGATTTCCCAAATTTGATGTGGCATATCGTATGCATGACTGATTTTGTAAATCACGTGATTGGCTAACTTCATGCATATGAATCAATCTTGGTAAATTTTCAAAATTGAAGATGCGTATGTCTCGACAAGCTAACCAGCTCCCTTTTGGCTACCTATACTTGAATTAAAACAGTTTAGTTCTGGCCTGTTGAGAACGACATGGACTGATAACCGTAGGCTATACTTAGGAATCTTGCTCACTGCTAGCTGCTACACAGATTTAGGCCTTTAGGGTAGAATATTGTTCAACAGGTAGGCCTCTGTAAGAACTTAAAAATACGCCAAGCCTCTACTAAGTCTAGGCTAGTCCTGACTCCAGACGAGGCCTGAGCCATCTTTCTGGAAAGTTAAAGTTTTGTTGTATTTGTATGGTATGCCATCTAGTCTAAGCTTAATTGTTTTCGCCATTGCAAAAATTAGTCTTATTACTAGGGTCGATTCTAAATATTTTAGGCCCGTTTTATTAGGGGGGACTATTTAAGTTTAGTCATGCCTAACTAGTCGACGCGAGTGACTCAGTTTCGTGGCTCCAAAAATATGAACATTTGATTGGTTAAAATAGTTTATTTCGGTTCGCCCATTTATCCAAATACGGAATATAAGATTACGTCATTCTTTTGGCATCCCGGTGCCTGATTTCAGTGTTTTACAAGTCGCTTATTCTGTCTGTTTCTAAATTAACTTTCTCGTTGGTGTCGCTGTCGAGAATGAGAAAAATAATAAAAATAAGGAGGTATATTTGGTATACCAAAACGGACTCAAGTTCCAACTCCAGAGCTATAATCAGTGGCGGATCCAGTAAACAGAAAGGTGAATATTCATAGATTCGTCTCATATATAATATATGAATTCCCATTGAATGAAAAAAAATTAACCATCAAAACACTAATTTCAATATGAATTGAATGAACAATCCTGTCTAGGAATTACGCCCGCAAAAAAAAAAAAAAAAAAAAAAAAAAAAAAAAAAAAAAAAAAAAAAAAAAAAATTGGTTCGTGTGGGAATCGAACACACAACCTCCAGGTTTGCTATTCATTATCCACCATCAACTAAACTGCCTTAAAAAAATTGGTTCGTGTGGGAATTGAACACAAACCACCAGGTTTGCTATTCATTATCCACCTTCAATTAAAAAAATAAAAAAAAAAAAAAAAAAAAAACTTGCCCCGTGTGGGAATCGAACCCACGATCGCCGAGTTTACTACTCCTGATCCAGCATGACTAAACGGAGGGAGGTAAACCGCGGCCCCTAAGCCATAAACGCGATAAACCTAGTACCACACCAAGTACCAGTTAGTCAACCCTAATCCTACTAGAAAAAATCTTCGTATATATACACTGCAGGTTAATATTACGCATGGTCATGGTGTCAAAAAAAATGGTTCTAGGGCCAAGAGGTTTTATTTTTTGTCTAAAAATGTATAATTAAATTTATAATCGATTTATGATTGTTACCATCTCCATAACTTACACACTTTTTTTTTAAATAGACAAAAATGTTGGAAAAATTCATTATGCAAATTAGAAAAAAATTGACCAATCATGTTACGGGATTGAATGTATTGTGCTCGTTGATGACGTCGCGAATTGCGAAATAACAACAAACAACAACCTTTCATGTCCCAGCCTGGGAACCAGTCATTTCTAGCAGATGCCACTTCGAGCGAAGGCCAATTCGAACGAACTCGAGCGGATTTTTTTTCCGAGCGGATGCTAGTTCGAGCGGAAGAAGATCCACTTGTACGAACAACAACCTGTGCGAGTTATATGCGAATTACTTTAAAATTTCTATTATTTCTATTTTTGAGCTAACAATTTGCTCAAGCTTTGCCAGGGAGGCAGGGGAAAGCCCCAGTCGGTTCCTGGGAAGACGGGGAAGACGCCTATAGTCTTATGTATAGCAAGTCGTATTTAATGGATTTTTAGGTTAACAAATAATAAAGTTCTATTTGTTCTGAATGTATATGGTAAGTGAATCCTATTTGGAATAGGAATTTCCTTTATAGTCTGCCATCTCTATCTTAGAGTAAATAAATAAATAAACAAACGAACATACCCACATTCATAAAAATAATGATGTATCTTTAATTATACTAACTTAGTCAATGTTATCCTTTCCACAAGTTTAAAAAAACAGTGGGTTTTGAACTTTAGAAGAAAATTGGTATGATGTCATTATTACTGTACTATTGATACTTGTCACAGGGGCGGATCCAAACATGTTCAAAGGGGGAGGGACACAACAGTTCCAGAATAGATAAATGAGTAGCACATAACATTTATATGCATTGACATTTTTAAAATAGTGGCAAAACCGCCCTGTCTAACACTACTACACCATTCATTTGTGCACCTTCTGACACACCTACATACGTAAAAATAATTTAAATTCCGATGGTGATTAACAATTACACAATTAAAGTTGCTCCCATTACAAATATAGGCCTAAATCGTAAATCTACAAATACAATTACAAAATTATATAATTCAATTACAAATATAGTTTGCTTTTTTAAAAATAC